CGACTAGGTCCTACCCCTAAGTAGCTGTGAGTCCTTGGGCAAATCACTTTACTGTGCATCTCACGGGCCTGTACCGAGCATTGAAATGGATGCAAACACCACCTGCAAACTGCAAGGGACCCTGCTTCCCTCCGGTCGTCACATTGCAGAAGGGAATCCTGCACTGGGTGAACAATTGGATTAGGTGAATTAACCTTGAGATTCTAGAAAAAGGGAGGCAGTCCTACTTCACGGAGTAGTGTCACTTATAGGTCAGGATTTCATCTTTCCAAAGACTGCTCAGAATTAAATGCAGGGTTCTCCCTGCTGCTTCCCCAGCCTCTGCGACGTGAGTGGCAGCCGGGCAAGAGATCTATTTATTAGGTTGAAAATATAAGCAAATTTTAGAAGCCCTAGATACGGATGGCAAATCTCTATAGAAGGAGGCCGGGGGTGTTTGGGAAAAGCCCCAGAATCTGAGGGCGATAGACAGCATAATTATGATTTGCCCAAATTCCTTCAGTGCCCCTGGTCTAGAAGGCCAATCGCCAAGTGTTTCTGACAAGTGTGTTTATGATGTTCAGTTAAAGAAACAGAAATAGCGCGGGTCCTGGGAGGTATTCTCAAATACTGAGAAGGGGAGTCCCAGGTGGTGACGCACATCCCTAGACTGCAAACTCAGAAACTGCCCGCCCCGGCGCGCCGGAATCTCCGAAGGTAAAGTTATGGCGCCACCTGCTGGAGAAACAGAGACGGGATTCCCTCCCGTCGTTTTCTCCCTAACATTTAGCCCTACAGCTCAATCTTTAAGCTCCGCCCTAAAGACCCAAGACCTGGCGGGAACCACCTCCCAGCCAGATGGGAAACCACTATCCTGCTTATCAATATGTCTTCAGCTTTTCAAAGCCTGTGCTTTGGGGATTGGAGAATCGGAATGTGATAAGCCTAGCAGTCTTTCCCAAAGGAGGCTGGGAGAGTCTGTATAGGGCCAGAGGAGAGATGGGGGGCCCTGAGATTGCTCTGCCTGCAGATCAGCAGCCCTCCCTGACCCCACCCCCACCCCCACCCCCACCCCCACTCCCCCACCCCCGTCGTCCCCTGCCAGCTCACCATGGTGAGAGGCCTCTTCCCAGAGCTTTCTGGAAGAGCGCTGCTGTACCTCTGAGGGAAGAGGCACGGACAGGTAAGAGATGGCACACAAGTGAGCCTACAGAGATCCAAACACTGATGAATTTGCCCGTACCCCATTCTGTGTGGACTGACTCTAAAAGGCTCTGTAATGACCCAATAATGGCCAGGAGATGCTGTGAAAATGGCTCCCTCCTCCAGGGATCATTAGAAAGCTATTAAGGGTGTCTAATTATTTCCTAGTGCTAATAAAGGTGCTAATAAGCCAGGCAAGTTTTCCCACTTTTATGGAGATAATTAGAAGGCAATTACTTTTTATGTACAAAAAGGACTGAAACCTTAGCTACTGTCTCTGCAGCTGGATTTTGTTCTGCACCCGTGACAGAAGCTGGTCTGTAGCACTTCAACATGCATTAACAAGAGTCTTGGGTTTTTAAACTCCATACTACCAGTCTACCTCAATAAAAGGTTAGTCTGAAGGAAGCAGAGAGAGAAAATAGAGGTAATCTATCATCCTCTAGGACTTTGGGGTAAGGGGCCATCTTGGTTGTACATTCTACTTCAGGAATTGTGTCCCAACTAGCTCTCAGACAGTGGTTCTCAAATTTGGGCACACATCCGAACCGTCTGGAAGCTTGCTCAAACATTGCTGGGTCCCACCCTAGAGTTTCTGACTTGCCAAACCTGGGGAAGGGGGTGAGAATTTACATTTCTTTTCTTTTTTCATTTTTATTTATTTTGAGAGAGAGAGAGAGAGAGAGAGAGAGAGTCCCAAGCAGGCTCTGCAGTGTCCAAGCAGAGCCTGACCCCGGGCTCGAACCCACGAACCATGAGATCACGACCTGAGCGGAAACCAAGAGTTGGCCACTTAACGGACTGAGCCACCCAGGCGCCCGGAGAATTTACCTTTCTAATAGATTCCCAGGTGAAAAACACTGCTCTACAACAAGTGTTTCTGACTTGGAGTCCTCAGATACCCCCTCTGGCTCCCTCCCTGCCAAGAGATTAATGGGTAGGATTCAAAAGTATACTTGACTTTGCAGGGGGGGTGGGGTGGGGAATGACATCTTTATCTTCACTAACTTCCAACTGAAATTCAGCTTTTTCTTAAGTTATGAATGCAGGCCTTCAACCACAGCAGTATTAGCAGTGATAACAGACATTTTCCAATCCTGTTACATCCATAACAGGTATCTTCCAGAATCATCTGTGCACATCACTCCTTCAAAACTCCAATGGTTATTAGTCCTGTCAGTAGATTTTATTATGTAATCCAGAATTGGAAAAGCACATACATTACTATATCACTACTTTCAAAAATATTTTGATAACTGTATTTCAAAATGATTGGTTTCCTTTGAGGGCCTCTGTACTTTCTTTTATGCATCTGATAATGTTACTCAGGCTGCCCAGGGAGGAGAGGGAAGGGAGGTGGGGCCCATAGCACACACACACAAAGGTAAAAACTTTGTTCTTAGGAGGTGAAATTAATCCTCAAGGAGAATTCAGAGGCTGCTTCAAGGGAAAAATCTGAAAGGAGTGATGTTAGTGCTTGTATGGGCAAGGAGGAGGGTGGACAGGGAGGTGTCCTAGAGGCAGAGGAATGGATAAGATGGCAGGTTGTCAGCTGGCAAAGTGAAACTTCGCGTAGCAAATCGTCCCTAGAATTCAAGTCTTCCTAGATTGTTTCTTAGCCAGAAGGTGTCTGGGACTTGCTTTGCTTTTTTTTATCTCTTCCCCTCTCCGTTGTATGTTGAGACAAATCTCCCAACTGTGGCTTTGAGTACAACCCCCGTGCCTCTCTGCATCATCCCTCTTCTCAAACCACGCACCCTTTCTGACTCCAGAGAAACACACTGAAGCTTTGTTTAAGAACATGCATATCTCGATGTCCTGCACTCAGGTGCTTGACTCCTTTTTATTTGCTCTGTGTCCTTAGGCAAAGTCTCCTATCCTTTCTGGGCTCAGGATCAACCCATCTAGTAGTCAGAAGGCTATTTCCATTTTCCTGAGTGCTCCAGGTGGGGAGGATGGGGAGTTCTCTTAAAGTCTGAGAAGAGGATGGCTCCTGCCATGCCCAAGATTCACAGAGCTCTGACGCAGCCTCTTTCTCATCCATCCGCCCATCCTTGATGCCTGCCTTAGAAACAGAGGACATGACCCCTCGGCCTTGAGGACGGGAGAGACAGACTTCTACAAAAAATGACAGCGTGTCGAGGTAAGTGCTGTCCGGGACATCTGCAAAAACACTCCAGGTGCAGGTGAGCAAGTGACTAATTCTCCCTGGAGCGGGGCAGCTGGGCTGAGACATGGGTTGCACCCTGGCTGCACATGGCGGGCTGAAGGAAAGGAGGATGGGGGTGACATTTTGGGGGTGATCTTCCATTAACCAAACTGGGGCATTTAGGAGGGAAGCAGGTTTGCAACAAAGGATAAAAGGAAGAATAAAATAAAATAAAATAAAATAAAATAAAATTAAATTAAATT